ATAATTCAATGATTGAAAGATTAAAGGAACATCTAACAGCAGCCCATGTCATAAAAATTGATTACACTGAAGTCCTAGCCAAACACAGGGAGAGGCTGAGCTAAACAAGAGCTTTGTAAAACACTTATGCCCCCCTCCCCCAAATAATTGAAGTCCATGGGGCATAACTCTGTCAAAAATGACTCGATCATACCCGAAACAAAACCTTACCTAGATATTCATATGAAAAATCTGTATTTCAAATTTCATTTCAGTATGTGCAACCGCTGAAAAGGAACTGCAAATAATTGGAACTTTTCCGAGTCCAAGGGGAATAACTCTGTCAAAAATGGCTCAATTGTACCCAAAACTGAACTTGACCTAGATATTCATATGATAAATCTGTATATGAAATTTTATTTAAATTATTTGCTACCTCTGCAAGGAAAATGAACGGAAACAGCTAATAATTGAAATTTTCCTAAAAAGTCCAAGGGGCATAACTCTGTCCAAAATGGACTGATCATGCCCGAAACAGAACTTATTGACCTAGATATTTGTCACTCTTATGATAATCTGTATACATGTACAAAATTTCATTTCAGAATGTGCAACAGCTGCAAAGATAATGAATGGAAACTAAGTGGACCGACAAACTAACAGACAGCTGCAAAGCAATATGCCTTCCCATCTTTGAAGGGGACATAAATATGCCAATAAAAATGTGTGTTAGCATTTTTTTGCAAAAATTGTGATACATGTAAGCAGAAAAAAGTCTCCATAATAGTTTAACTGTATTTTGTGAGGTCAATACCTAAGATTGACTCTTTTTTTAAATTATTAAGTAAATTTACTGCTCATTAACATAGGTATTAATTGATGGATCTTTCGAAAGGTTACAGCAAATTTCTTTTGAATGGAAGCTTGGTACAGCCATTTTGAATTTCTCACTACTGACATAAACCCCTTTTCACCAAGTTGGGGCACAAGGTTGCATGTTCCCTTTAAAGCATTCATAGCTCTTGGCTACATGGCAGCACAGAATTTTTTATGATTGATCATCATTCAAAAGACAACCACTGCATAAAATTTCAGTGAATTATCCTCTTAAAAAGGAATAACTTTTGGTTGACAAGTTTTCCTGTACATGTATTCCCATTGTTTAGGAGATTGATCCCTCGGAAGTTCCTTAACTTCTTGGGGATCAATCTAACAAACAGTAGGATTTCATAAAAACTTGCTTACCAAAAGTAAATATTAATATTTCATTTTAAGTGTTTTGATGCGGATTTATGATACAGTTGTTTGGCCAGTTCCGAATAAGAAACCGATTCGGCTGAGCTATAAATATACTAGACATTATTTCAAAATTTAAGTGTTTTGTCAAGGTAGTTCGATGACTTGTGGAATTAAATATTGTTTCCTAAAAATCCATCCTGCCTTTAAAAAAATTTATTTCGCAAGTTACCATAGGTGTCATTTTTACCAGTTACGAATAAGCCGACGAGTTCCGGATAGCCCAGAGATTCCTATTCAGTTCAACCCTAAATTAAAAAATATACGTCCCAGATGTTATCCATTGGCATGCCTAAGAAAAGTTAAATTAATTTCTTACCAATAAATCATTTGTATTTTCAAAGGTTGAAGAGAAACTAGAGGTACTGTGGGCACTGAGCTCATTTTAATGATACCCCACACCTTCTTTATGATTATTTAAGACAAATTCCATGTTTTGCTCTGGGAGACCCGAAATTAGTGTTAGTTCAAAAAGTAAAATAAAAGTTCATTATGTCACAATGTAATCAAGAATCTGTGAAAGTATCATGAAATCTTATTCAGTGGTATAGGAAGAATTGCGGATTAGAGATGGATAAACCTTTCAATATTACAAAGAGTAGTAGTATCTATGTTTTTCTCAGGGAGCCCAAATTATGTGCCTGATCCAAAAATAAAATAGTTTTACTTTGGCACTGTAAAACAAAGATTCTGTGAAAGACTCATTAAATTCTGTGAAGCTTCATTAAACTTCATTCAGTGGTAGAAGAGGGGTTGCGGATAAGAAATGGATATCCTAGAGCATATCAGACGGACGGACGTACAGCTAGACGCACGGACGGACATAAAGACGGATGGATGGACAAACATCCCTTTACTATCTACCCCTTCTTCCTGTTTTACAAGCGGGGGTATAATAAATCAGGTTTACAATGAAGAAAATAACGAAGAGTGAATTTATAATAGTGTTTAAAATGGGTATTCGGAACTGGTAAAATAAGAAGACGAAAATATTTTAATATCTTACAGTGTTCTAAATATTTATTTTTGACAAGTTTTTAGTATATGTTAGAGTACATATCAAACTTACTTTTGATACCTGGAACGTGGTTTTATGTGAAAAATTATAAGTATACAGAGGTTTTTCTGCAGACTTACGCGTCGCGGTGATTCACGTTTGTTGCGTTGTAAAAGTATGTCGACTGTTTCGAGTACGATAACGAAACCAAACCGAGGGTAAAAAAATTAAAACTTCGCATAATTCAAACACTAATAAATAAGCCTTCTTACCATAGAAACAATTTATTTTTACACCGTTTAATTTATTAATTATCAGTCCTTAAATTAATATTTATTCTTAACTGGCAAAAATCCGTAACTGGCAAAACGACTGTATATAGTACCAAAATAAAAAGAAGATGGGTGAACAAGGCGGGCAGAATGCCTATTGCGTCAGATATTTTAAAAGAAATCATATTAAATATGTGAATTGATTACATAGGCGTCGGAACGGGGGGGGGGGGGGGGCTAGGGGGGGGGGCTTAGCCACCCCCCCACTTTTTTTCCAAAAATATAATTAGTATAGACATTGAACACATCTTCGTAAGTTTAGCCCCCCCCCCCCCCCCCCACTCTGCACAGAAACGTCTTACTATAGGTTAAAAATGGGGAAAGTGGTGGTGTTTGGAATAAAATTTTTGGTACTGGTGTTCGAACCTACCCCCCCCCCCCCCCCAACGGGAAATAGGATTTTCGTGTTTGGGAAATACAGGTTTTTTTTTGCTTGTCAGGTTTTTTAGAAATTTTTTTTACACTTAGCCCCCCCCCCCCCCCCAACTTTCAATTTGCTTCCGACGCCAATGTGATTAATATTTAAATTAACTTCTAATTATTGAAATTTTTGAAATTATGAGAAAAAAAAAACTTTTCTGAGAGAGAAAAAATCATGTAAAAAATTTCCGTTCATAAAATTATTATATGGTATTCGTGGGATTCGAACCCTAGCAATAAAAATCCGACGCATCAATAGCATACTTTTTTGAGACAAACGCGTTATTCCACTGTGCTAGTAACACCGCTAACGAAGATTCCAGACATTTAAATCATGTTTGTGATATGACCCGCGACTTAATGGACTTGAAGTACAAAAAAATGTATTTCTTGGAAAGATGCTAATGTTGTGACATAAAATTGTACTTTTAAGGTATAGTGGGTCTTCGCTCCATGTTTATGAAAACCAAAAATTGTGTTGTGCTATCAAAAAAATGGAGAGAAGACCCACCCATATTGAAAAATTCTAAGTATGAGAAAATGATCATTTTTGTTGGTTTTAGTGTGTGTAAGCATTTCCATACGCAAATATTTTCAGTCTTTGTGAGATCTTTGTAAATTGTAGAGATTTTACATAAAGTATACTTTAATATTAGATGAAATATCAAGTAAAATTTGGAATCAATTGAGATTAAACATAAAATTTTCACTTCTTATCTGTCGCACTATAGTCATTCTGCCCGCCTTATTCACCAATATTCTTTCAATTTTTGCACTGTAAATTTATAGTCCATTTGGGACATTATATCCCGAACGGACTATTACATCCCATTTGGGCGATTGGTCCCAACCTGTTTAAAACTGACTTTCTATCATAGACCTAAATCGTTCGCTTTAGGTCTATATGTTTCTATGTAGACTTTGTAGTGAAATAAACTTTCTTTAAAAAAATCTTGTTTGGTTCTGTTTATGCTGTGTGTCGATGATACGTAATTGCACTCAAAGAAACGTGTGGAAAGCCATATAGTTTCTCTGCACACTTATTGCAGACCTGAGTAATAATGCCATCAAATTTAAAGTGTAGTTATTCAAAAAATAATCGAAAGTATCTGTGAATCCTACTTTCAGTTTCTCGCACACTCTCCGTTTATTCTAGCAACCGAGGCCTTCCGAATACACTTGTAAGTTATATACACTCCCGAGATGTTCCGAGGACACTTTCGGCAGGCATCGGGAATCGGACTTCATTGCTCAAACAAATCACAGAGCAGGTGAGTTTCAACGCAAACGATGAATTTTGTTTTTGAGCTAATGAAATGAATAAAAGAGAAGTTAAGATTTACATAAAACTGAATATTCGATAAAGATTTTGAACGATAATGAGGAGTCAATGATGTTATTTATTTTAAACAAACATTGCATAAGATGTCCACGTGCTTGCAAGTAGACCTTGACTGCACTGCTATTTTTGCTCAAAAAGGAATGCTGTGTGTTAACTTTGTAAAGGTGTATATTTAAGTGAATAAAAAATCAATAAAATGAAAACTTTTTAAGAAATTTAAAGATGAGGTACTTTTCTTTGCACCTATACATACTATGGTTTAGCTCAACTTCAATATGATTGAGCTTTCCAAAGGCTAGTAGAGCCGTATAGCTACAGGATTGTAGCTCACTTCAAATCTTAGAAAATTCGGATAGATCAAGCACAGAGCAACTGATCCAAGCATTGATATACGCCGCTGATGTTTGTTTTTTGTCTCTGTCCGAACTTTCTCAACCAGATCGAGAGCCATATACAGTTCTGCAGCTACAAAAAATATTATTGACTAACCATTCTGACAGGTGAAGAAAAGTGCCAACTAATGGAAAAAATGAAGTGTGCACAAAATATCTGCTATTTGTCAATTTATTTATTCATGGTTTTCAATCTGCCATCTTCTTCTTTTATTGAACATTTTGAAGGTCTATAATATTAGCTGAAAGATGTTGCTGACATTAGAACCTCCTTGAAAGAAAAACCAAACATGTCAGGACTTCCTAAAAATAACTTCACAGTGGTCGACTGGGCAGTCTTCTCCGGGCTCCTCATCATTTCGGCATGCATCGGGGTTTACTATGCCCTGGCAGGAGGGAAGCAGAAAACCACCAAGGAGTTCTTAATGGCCAATCGCAACTTGAAAATAGTTCCTGTGGCTGTATCCATTCTAGTTTCATTCCTGTCAGCCATTTTGATTCTTGGGGCACCTGCAGAAATGTACACCAAAGGAACGCAGTATTATTTATACTTATTCGGACAAATGACGGCCGCAGCACTGGCAGCTGTTTTGTTTGTGCCACTTTTCTATCCACTGAAATTGACGAGCATGTATCAGGTATTTTCAAATATATTGAGAAAGATAATTGTATTTGCCCCCCCCCCCCTCCCCCCCAAAAAAAATGAAGTATAAGGGAGATAACAAACTAATTGCAGTTTATATAAGGATATAAAAGATTACTATATATTATATATCGATCCTTTGTGATTTTCAGGTTTATGTCTAACTTAAATTGTATCAGTATGATCCGATTCTTAGTCATTCAAATTACTCAATCAATCTTAACAATATGTTGAACATTATTTCATTAGGGTAGGGGTGCCATGTAATGATGTTTACATCTAATCAGGCCAAAAGAAAATATACTCTTGTTTCCTGTCCCCTGACCAAAAAAATAGGGTGGGTAGGTAGGTAGGGAAAAAAATTATTTTGAGAAATTTTTTTTTTAAAAAACTCAATGAATGCCGAACTTATAGCAAGTTATAAGAAGAAAACAGTATGTTATCAGTTTACAATGCAAGTTTGTTAATAAAGATTTTAGATTTATAAAGTAAAGGTATCCTGTACACTTGTGATGTATTAGTTCTGTAAATATTGTTGGTCAACTTAACTATTACAGGAAAATAGCCCCCCCCCCCCCCAAAATGAAAATGTAAAAAAAACTTTTAGGGTCGGGGGGTAAAATGTGGGTACGGTACGAAGGTCGAGTGACAGGAAACAAGAGTATGTTTTTTTGGCCTCATTTTAACAGTCTATTATTGATTATTAGAGAATTTACATTATGAACAGAAAAAATCTTTCAAGTACAATCCTAAGTAAATCAATCACTGACGTTTTGTGCATTTTGTTTTCCTGTGTAGTATATAGAACTGAGATTCAAGTCACGGGCAGCAAGACTGACAGCCACTGTCATCAATATATTTGCCTCTGTGAGTATGAAGGCTTTAATAAAAAAATTCAGTAAAAGCTGGTTATAATAGAACATTTCGGAGAGCTTGTGTCAATAATTCATATTATGATTTAATATACTAAAATTCATATAACTTCATACAAAAAGAATTCACTGTATGGTGAACCTGCTTTGATGAATTCACACCTATTGCAAACTGACTTGCTTTCCCCCTGGTTTTAAAGGGTATGGGAAATTGAAAAATCAGAAATTGTGAAGTATGGTTATAATGAAGTAAAATGGATTTTTATTCTTCAAAGATGTTCTACTTGGTAAACATATTTGCTAATAAAATGTTTAGAGTTTTGTCTAACCTTTTCATGTTAATCACTAACATTGATTCTATTTCAGCTGATATATACAGGAATTGCATCATTTGCTCCAGCAACAGCCTTGTATGCAGGTCAGTGATCAAGAAAAATTCTGCATATTGAAATTGTACTGTAAAAGTAAAGCTCAAGCCACAGGTCAAGTATCTTTCATATACAAACTACAGTCAAACTTTGTTATCTCAAATCTGAGAAAAAACATCGAGATATCTGAGGATTCAAGATATCAAGTGTACATATGTAAAATACTTTAAAATAATGTGGTTGGGACTTCCCCATCACTTTGACATATCCATGGTATTCGAGATATCCAAGTTTGAGATATTGAAGTTCAACTATACATTGTTGTGATTGCATGATTCTCAGAATTTTTTTTCGTATTTCTTTACAGTGACTGGTTTTCCTGAGTGGGCCTCATTTCTTCTCATAGGATTCGTTTGTACGTTTTACACTTTTATGGTAAGTTTCAAATAGTGTCCTGTTCATTTTGTGCTGACTTAAAGAGACCGGTATATTTTTAACTTATGTTAAACAAAATGCTCATTTCTTAGAGTGTTGATAACTTTTGTTCAAATATTGAATAGCTGTGGCTTTATTGCCATGTAAAGGGTGGATTAAAAGTGTTATATCAAGATGCTTTAATTTACACTTGTTTGTAAATTACAGGGTGGACTTAAAGCTGTGGTGTGGGTGGATGCATTCCAGGCCATCATCATGTTTGGTACTCTGTTAACTATTGTCATTAAGGTATGGTGAAATATGAATTAAGTTAATGTGTTTTAGTCTATCATAACTCATCCCTCACAATATCTTTCAGAATGATAAAAATGCATGTTTAAGGAATCTCTGTCTAGTTAGTGTAGTATGCCAGGGCATCAACGATAGTGGGAAACATGGGATAATATGCATAACAGGCGAAGCCCGTTATGCATTAATTATCCCTTGTGACAGTGATTCCATATATTTCCATTTCATTGTGAAATAAAATTGTAGATTTAGACTTTAAAAATGTAGACTAATCGATTTAAATCACACAAGGATTCCCATGCAATTTCAATAGTCCTCGCCTACTAACGTCAAACACAAAGGCAGTGAGATTTACATGCATAATTGGCCTCTTAGCGTCAGACACAGAGACAGATGTTCACAAGATTTGCATGCATATTAGGCCTCCTTAGCTCCTGACCTATCAACCTGCCGAATTTACATTCCGGCAGAATTATCAAGAAATAAACTCCCCTACTTTTCAAAGAGTTATCACAGAGAAAAAAAATCAGAAATGGAAATACTAAGTGATATTTATTAATGACTTGGGAAGTGCTTAGAATCTGATGGCAGCAAATATATGATGGAAAGTTTATTTTAGATTTCAGTTGCTAAATATAAAACTACCGGTATGAATCTATTAAGTAAAAATATTAATGTAATTGTTGCCTCAATTTATTTTTAGGCTACTTTAGAAGTGGGAGGATTTTCAAAGGTGTGGGAACTGAATGATCAGTGGGGTCGAATCAACTTCTGGAAGTAAGTATCACTCATGGATGATCATGGGCAAGAGTTGCTTTTGCACTGTGTATTTATTCATCAATGTCATTTTGGTAAGAAAGGCTTAATAAATGCGTATTGTGGGTTATTTTAGTGGGGTGCTAATTTTGGCTTATTTTAGCTAAAATAATCAATATTCTTCTAAGTGTGCCTTTGCAACATGTTCAAACCATGTGTATGCTAAAAAAAATAATGCCTTTGAGCAAGCAAAATGCCAAACTTTACACCAGCCAAGAAAACCAGCTATGCAGTATAATAAATGATATTTGTTCAAGACATTTGCTGATTTATGACTTGTCCTGTAAATAGCTTGAATTTTGTGTTTTAAAAGTGTGTTTTTCTTCATAAGCTTAATTTGTCAGAGACCAGAAGGTTATAAACATTGTTTTACAATGGTATTTTGTCAATCTGTCTATAAACAATTCTACATCAGTAAAAATGGAAGAATTTCCTTTAGAATAGATACTGTTTTCAGCTAGAGTTATCTCTCTTAGCATTGGTGTAAATGAGCCCTATAAAACACTAATTCAGTCCAGATTTTTTTCTGATCTCAATGTTGTCAATGATTATTTTTTTTTTACAGTTTTGATTTTGATCCAACAGTACGACACACATTCTGGGCATTAACCTTTGGAGGAATGATCAACTGGGTGGGAACTTTTGGAGCTAGTCAGCAGAGCATACAGAGATTTAGTGCTCTAGCCTCTCTGAAGGAGGCCAAAATGTAGGTATAGGGTGCTTCATTTAGCTGTCTTTTCCTCACCAAAGGTGACGGGGCCAAAATGTAAGTAGGATTCCTTATTTTGCCTCAATGGGGGGGGGGGGGATGAAAACATAGTCTCTCATTTAGCTGTCTTGACCTCACTTGGGAAAGTGTAAGTTGAGTACGTCAGTTGGCTGGAATGTACAGTTGAACTTTTGTATCTCAAGCATGGGTAGATTTAAATACCATAATCATACAGTTCAACTTTTGGTATCTTTAACACCAATACATCAAAATTCTACATATGTTGAAGAGAAGTGGAAGTGTTTCAAACCTCGATATCTTGAATTATCAGATATTGCCGGGATTTTTTCTTGGTCCAATTTGAGTTTAAGATAAGAAGTTTTGCCTGCATGTATACATCAATTTGAAAGTGATTTGGATATTTCAACCAATCTTACTTTCAGTATTCTAACATTAAGATTTTAAATCCTCAGATATCTAGAAAGTTTTTCTTGACT